TGGCCTTCATTTAGCGCTTTTTCTGAAGGAATGCTTTTAATTTATCGGTGGCTTTGTCTGCCCAATCATCTCTCCTCTATGCTTATGCTGGAGTTGTGCATTGCTGTTACGTTTGCTATATGGAAAGCCAAGTAGTTCAAAAACGTGACTTCTGACACATAGACAACATGTGACAAACACGTGTTTTGCTCATTGTTTGCATGCTAACATGTTGACTTCACCTTTTAATTGTTCAGATGTAGTTGACACATTTAGAGCGCGTTAAGCTCTGAATCGGATTTTTTCCGTCCGATCCAACAGAAAATCATGTTGGACGAATTCGTAGCATTTAACACTCAGAGATTCAATAGGGATGATCACACTCAACATGGTTCTCTGCAAGGAGGCTTGTGTAAGTATGACTGAGATATTTTAGTCCAGGTCTATTTTAGTGGAACTACGCTGCAATTTAGCAGCAATTTCATGCGTGTGACATGAAGAGAGACGCTGTTGAAAAGTAAAACACAATTGCTGTGGGGGAAAATATAAAATAAAACCTGTTAAGGAGGGAAATAGTCACCTTTAAAATAATGAATGAAACGCTAAAAAAAAAATTTCTTTACCCATGATAGGAATTCAGGAGGACAGAAAACGGATAAAGCAGACATCATTTTTTAACTTCACAAAAACAATGAGGGACAGAAAGCGTAGTTTATCAATCCCCTCGAAAAAGAAAATTGATTTCAGGAGGAAGAAAACAGATAGAGTTTTTAATTTTATCTTTTAAAATTTAATAACTTGTAATAATCTGCCCGTCAAAACTGGGAAATTGTTTTAATTTGTGTGGCACAGAGACAAAGGTAAAAAAAAAGATCTGCTCACCCTGCCTAGTTGGAGCCTTTCTATACGCAGTCAGGGACATGGAAAAAAGACGCAACCAGTGTTTTCAGAAATTTAAGAACATATCAATTGCACGTAACCTACACGTTAATGTCATGTTATTATGAGGCATTCAGAAACTTGTCCAGTTTGAGCTGGTGGGTGTGTTTATTTTTTTCCTATTTGCTGTTGTGTAGTATGGTTAAACCAGTTCTTGAAAGGTAGGGGTGGTTCACAGCAAACAACATATCAGTTTCTTTTCTTACCTTTTTAAAAAAAGGAGCCTTTTTAAAAAAAAATCTAATATTTGGATTACAGTTTAAGGCAAACATCAACCGTAAAGGTAAATGTCTTTTCAGAGGGATATATAACAGTTTTGCTTCATCACTGCCATTTTCTTTTAATAATTAATATGTTTTGTTGAATTGCTGCAGGCAAACCTAATATCGGCCTGATATTAGGCAAAAGAACCAATATGCGATTTTATCATCCGGTACCTAAAATCTATATATTGGCATGATTAAAGCACAATGCACCTGTCTAAGTTGATGTAAACAACTCTGTTCTTCTTGTACCTATTGTTGACAATTGTCCTCTGAGTAATTTCACTTGATCAAACTTTTCTAACATTCTTCACTCAAAGCAGAGTATTTATATATGATTTGTGCTCATATTATATCGGGCCAATATTGGTATCGGTCAGTTCTTAAAGCTGCAATATCTGTATTGGAAATTTAAATGTTTTACCGAGACAACCTTAATTGTTGATTCTTGTGTCGATGGTGGAATTGATCTGTTCAAGCACATTGAGATTTGTATATCTTGGGAGGTGCATTAGGAGTAAATTTATACATACTTACAGTACACAATAGGAGCCCAACTTTTTGTCACATTGGCCAAATTTTTTAAATCTAAAGTACTCACAGGCCCCCTCAAACATTTTTCCTATTGATTCAAAATCAATATATTGATTAACGACCATAAAAAATGTTTTTTTATCTTTATTCTGTAGAAGCTGTAGGAGTTTTTTTCTATTCTGCTATTTAAAGCTACAGTGTGTAATAATTACAGGGATATACAGTCAGAAATGTAATATATTATACATAAATGTTATTTTATCATCATCTACTAGCTCAGCCTCTTAACCTTAATATTTGCATTGCCTTAGAATTCGTTATTTATAATTACATAGGAGCGGGTCTCGCAGCCATGGAAGCAGACATCTTTGCGCTACGGCAGCGCAGAGCCAACAAACTAGCGATTGCGAGATCGCCAAAATGTCCCAACGATGTAGAAAAAATAACGGGTAAATTTATTATCTTAAGTCTACATGAAATCTATACCCTACACAGACTAATGAAATACTATCTGTACAATTATCTATGTAAACAAACCTCATCACTTGAGAAGGTAGGTGATGCGGACGTCATGGAAGACATTTTGTCCCGTAACGCTCGCCGTACTGTTGGGGGGGAGAAGCGGTGGGGGGGAGATGTTCATGTTGCTGCAGTCTGCAGTCTGACCGCTAGATGTCGCTAAAAGTTACACACTGTAGCTTTAAAGGATGAGACAGGCATAAAAGCTGATATTAGCTGATTAATCAGCTAGGATATCTGCTTGCATAACTAAACTACAATGTTTAACAGACATGCAGTTTGAAAATGTTGTTCTTAAAGTTATTTTCCTATGTACTGGTAGCTGGTTGCAGATAGATTTCACACCAAGACTAATTTCCTTAAAGCTAAATTTGCCATTCATTGTGAGCCGGGGTTTTTATCACCCTAGTCTGCTGAACAACTATCTTTTAGAGGACCATTCCTTGCTAAATACGCAGAAAAAACATTTCTCAAGGCTTTGCCTTATCTGATCGAAAACTCTTTAAACCACGAGAACCATATTGTTAAAATAGTAGCTTATTGTTTTCTTTTTAATTTATAAACCTTCAGTTTTTATATGTTTCTGCATATCAGAAACAGGTAAGAAATAATGCAAAAAAAAAAAAAACTAAAACAAAAGTCATTTATTTCAGGAAAACAACAACGGGTCAGGGTATAAGTTAAAACGCAAAAGAAGAAAACAGCAATTTAATATCAGCAAAATGTAACTAAATAATGCAAAAAGGGGATGTATAATTTCCAACTTTGAGCATAAAAAGAGCAGAAGACTTTTTAAAGCTGTAAGCAAAAAGTTAATGTTTTGGAAAATAAATGTTCTTTTTAACAAGCCCCCAGCAGGCTATATCTAAGATGGTAAACTGTGTATTGAATGCAGCCTCTGCAAAGCTGGAATTGCTCTTTTTTTTGGTGGTGTGGGGTCTGAGTGTAGAGGAGCTTTAAATATTTTTTTATACAACTTACAAAAACTTTGGTATGTTTTTTCATCAGATTGTTTCTGCATCAAATATCACACTCATATCAAAGTGAAATCCAGCATATTATACCTCTTTAGAATCAGGCAATTCTAGGAAAATGATTATCAACTCTAATGTACGTGAACCATACACTACAAAAAACAATAATTAATAATTAGTCATCAACTTACAAATCATAATTATCAGAGCCCACCTCGTTTTCTGTTCTAGCGATCAGACAAAACACCCGACAATGGCAAAATTGGCACATCTGGTCTGTAATACTCCGCAGAAAAGTAATATCCAGTTATATTTCCCAAAAAATAAACTTTAGTGTTGCAATAATGCACCAAAGGTTGTTTTTTGCCATAAAAAAGTAAAAACATAAGGATGAAACAAATAATCCATCTCCATAATAATACTTATCCACCATATTAGATTATCTGCGTTACGTGGATGTATTCACCTACCTATTTACTCCATACAGAAAGTGTTACTTTCATTTTGACTATCAACAATAATATGGAAAATTCCTCTACGTGAAAAAAAGGCCCTCCCCTTGCGCATGCATCACATAGATTTTTTCAGCCGGCAGTGGCACTCGAAAATATAGTTGCTGATCGACCTCTGATTCACATATTTTGTTAACCAATGGGACTAGCTTTGCGACAATATATTGGAAGTGTAGATAGAAAATATAGCGTTTATTTAACTGTGTAAACATTGAGAGGAGAGGAGAACCTAGCGGTTACACACATAGAGGACTTTCATGCTTCAAAATTGTAAATAATGTAAAAAAAACTGTGCTTGACTGAAAATTTGTGTAAATCTTAACATAGAAATGTGTTTTTTATGGTCAAATGAATAAAATTTAAATAATCCAGTTTGCAACATCTGCTTCAAATTTTGCACAATTGTGCCAATTGGACCTTTTACATACAGAAAGGGTCATAGTTTCACAATGCTTATGACCAGAGATCTGAAATTTTACAGTTATTGTCCACAAGAAGAACAGGTATAGTAAGTTGAAGAGGTCAACTATGTGTTATACAAAAGATATAATCATAATAAAAATTATTTTGTTTTATTCGAGTGGAGAAAATTTGTTTTTTGAACATGTTTGAAGTCACATAGCTCTGGTTGTGTAAAACCTAGAGTCTATAAACATATCTCCAGAAACTAGAAGGTCTTAGCTTTTAAATGAGATATATCACAAGCATGTGGGATTAATAATATAATTTTACTTGCCAATTGCACTTTTTGGCATGCAGTTCATTCGTGCACAAGCCATAAAATGAGCCGAGCCAGTGCACAGTTTTGTAACAGTAAGATCCTAAAATGCAAACGGTTTAAAGCTGAAAGTCAGTGGCCTGAAGCCAACAATGATGTTACATTGTCCTGCATCCTCGCTCATTTTAAAGATAAGCCACTGCAGACAACGGAGATATGACTTCCAAGACTGTATACTGGGAGCTGCGGTACTTTAAAACAAATGAAATTGCTATTTTACAGGAGCGCAGGGTGTGGCCCAGACATTATTGAACATCTAGACTTTGGAGAAACTCTTTCATTGATCAAAAAATTGAACAGAGATTTAAGATTCAATAATCGGCATACTTCTAACTCATGTATTGGAGAGTTTTGTTTTGAGACTTGGCTGCCTGTGTCATGCATTTGTTCAGCACTGAAAAAGAACCACATCATGATGAAATAAAACACTTTTTTTTAAATAAAAGGACAGTTTTGATTGAGCTGCCTGCTGTTACATGTTACCTCCCTGTTCTCTCTTTAGTGATGGCCTCTGCTGAGCAACCGTGCTCCATCTTCCACCAGCAGCACTGCGCATAAGGCAACACACCCACCTTTGCCCTCCCGCCCAGGAGGGAGAGAGACACCACCATGTACAGCGTGGAGGACCTCCTCATTTCACACGGATACAAACTGCCCAAGAGTGGCCCTCCGTCTTCAGCGTCTTATGATAAGCGCCCCACCGAGTGCCAGCGAGAACTTGTGGACAACAGGACCGGCCGGGGGACTTTTAATGGGTTCGAGGCAGAGAGGGGAGCATCCATCTCGGGCATCTATGGCAGCAGGCAGGCACTGGTGAAGGGCTACCCCACCACGGATGAGAGCGGGGAAAGGAACCAAAGGAGGAAAGAAGCTGGGATTGGTTTCCTTGGTGATATTCAGCTCCTGGGCGATTCTCTCGCCACAGATAGTGGGTGAGTGATTTTTCCATGTCTTTTTTAATCCCCCACACCCCTTAACCCTCTCTTTCTCCCGTTAACTCCATCCTCTCCTCTCTTCTCCTCCTCACTCTGTGGCCCTTCAGTGTTGCATGCAAAACTGATTCTGCACTGCGCAGGGTTTTTTTTTTCCTCTTCTCTCATCCCCTCCTTGCAGAGCTGCAGAAAACTGGCTGCAGCAGCACCACTGGCTTATCATGAGCTGGAATATGAGCAAATATGAAAGGTACTTCAAGGCATTTGAATGCAAAGCCAACCCAGCAGCTCATATCTGGCAGGTCTGCAGATGCAAACAGCAGCTCTAGTCTTTGAGAAAACCTACAAGGTCTGAACATGCCTCAAGACAGGCGTGTAATCACTCCAGTGTAAACACTGGCACACTGAATCCCACCCAGCACGTGCTCTGTGATGTAAGCATGTTGCTGGGCAAGTATGCACAGCGCGACTCCCCTCAGCCATACAGTAGCATATGCTGCTGAGGATGATCCATTGACTTTGCTGCTCACTACATTGACTAACAGTAGTCTTTGTGCAGTGCAGATATTTGATGGAGCTCTGCCCATGCAGTGTTCTTCTTTTTTTTATTAATCAGCTAGAATAAGCAAAATATTGATAATCAGATTAAACTTTGTTAAGCATTAGAAACTAATACCGTAGTTAACTAGTGCCTTATTATAGCATTTGACACAATGATAGTTTAAATGTGCTGATATTACTAATGACCTTTATGAGGAGGTATATTTTTTCTGCAATACGACAAAAAATGTCTGTAGTGATGTAAAGACATGATACAATTTAAATCAGAATGCAGTTTAATTAAAAAGTGTAACTTATTTGTACCCCTCTGCATTTTAGATGAAGTGATATTTCAGTTTTTCCAACATATTTCTGTTGAATGGAAGCAATCTTTGACTTTTAGTGTGACCCGTTACCAACTTGAATCTGAGGGAGCATCTGTGTAGGGATTGAAAGGGTTAAGGAAATAACCTTTATTATTTAATAATATTAAAAATGAGATCATTTTAGCATGCTACTTTTAAATAAACAGTTTTTTCTTTGTAGATTGATCCTCCTTAATGTTTTGTTCTTTTAAAGATGTGAGGAAAATGTTTTTTAGTTGAAAGAAAAATATTTTAATTTTGTTTTTTTTATTTTAAATAAGCTTGAATTTAACTCTAGGTCAGGAAATGGGTCTAAGAAGGAGTGGGGAAGCCAGAAAATGTTCTTAGGGGTGGCCAGTTAGGGAACAATGTGCACTGAAGAGGGCTTTAATCTACACTAAGCACATTGTACCGACAGGACAATGAACGAACCAAAAAAAATTCATACATTAAAAAAAAAAAATCTCACAGACTAGACTTGCACTAAAAAACACACATAATATTTGTGAGGTTTGATATGTCATAATATTGATTTTTCCTAATATTTATAAGATTTGTTGTTCTACATTCTATACACATTAAACGAGTTAAGCAGTTTTAATCTCTAATCATATAAAAAACCTCCTAGATAACTTTCAAAGAAAATTTTTCCTGCTTTTCCATGATACATAAACAGAGGTTCTAAAAACAGCAAATTGTATGTGTTTGTCATCTTTATTATATTGATATGAATAATTCAGTGCTGTATTTTTGTTGTCAGTTTATGGTTGATGTACTAAAAATAAAATGACAAACTATTTAGGACTTTCCTCTTAAATCAAATTATCCTGCAGTCCTCTTCTGTTTTATTTAGGACCTGCTTGTTCCAGGGTGGTGAAATTTGTTCACATGTGAGCAACAAATTGCCTGTTGAGGATGGCCACATAGATGGTTAATGGTTATCAGTAGGATTGGCTAATCGTCATATAAAATAGATAAAATGGGGAAGGGGTGGCTTATTTGTTAGAACAATGTGCTTCCATTCGTAGAAAGCAGCAAATAACAGGTTGAAGCCCCAAAGGATGAAACTCTGGGTAGAGATGCACCAATACAATATCTGGATTGGATGTTGGCTTCGATATCCGATCCAGCTATTCCAATTATTGGCCACAATAACTGGATCGGATATCGCTTATTTGATATCAAATATCCCGGATCCAATCTATGGAACTGTTATTTCTTTTTTGGTGCTTTTTTGTTAAAAAATGATATTAAATATATTTATATCTGTGTAAATGTGTTACCTTTTTTTTTAAACAATGTTTATGTCAAGCCTGAGGCAAGATATATGGTTTAATTATTCCGATACACTCCGCCCAAGTATCGGTATCGAATTAGATTTGAAAAGCTGGATCGGTAAATCTCTTAAGTTTGAGTATCTATCGACAAATTTCCCCACTTGCACTCCATGCTGCCGACTGGTCCCTAACGGATGGGTTAAACAAAGAGCTCAAATTTCATTCAATCATATATTTACAGTGATCAACAAAGTTCCTCCTCAGAGATCCTAAACCTCAATGGCGGCCGTGGCCACCCCTTTATTAAGAAGTTAGCAAGTGATCTAAAGTTGCCTATATCTACTGGTGTCTAAAGCAAACTGGTTGTTTGGAGCCTTCTTGAAACAAGTCTCCCCCGTCAGTCTTTCAAAGATGGTACGCTCCAGATTTCCTTCCCCAGCTTGTTTGTATCAGCAGCACCTCAAACAAAAGAACAAGTGTAAATAAACCATTCAGACAGACATTAACTAAAGTGTGCACCCATTAGAAAATACCTGTCTAAAATAACCAACGTAAACATAAATTGTAATATAATATAAAGCAAGAAAAGAAAATACTAACACGATGTGGTGGTGGGAGGATCATCCACCACAGAGCCGTGTAAGGAAAAAGCCTTTCTGCCCTACCATCTTAAATAAGCAGAAAGTTCATGCTCACAGTTCATGCATCCTACTAGTGCTTGAACTGTAAGCATTATGGTGGAGGATGTGTGATGCCATGCGTCTGTTTCTCTTGCTATGGAGCCTTGTGAAAGTATTTTAAATGCCAGAAAATGAAGATTATTTGCCCTCTTCAAGAAAACTTAAAAAAATTATGTCACTAAGTTTTTCAGTAGTAATTAATTCAAAATATATAGACAAATCAAGAGAAGACTGGTCCATTATACACCAAATAACTTTTTTCACATGGTGTCAATATTTGGATCTCATAGAAAAGCTGTGAGGGGAGTCGAAGGTACCATTGCATGGAAATTGAGTGAATAGGAATAGTTGAACATCTCTCTCTCTCTATGCCCCTAACTTCAGAAATGTGTAAAGAGATGACCTGCAGACCTCTGGTAAAAGAATGTTGACAAGTATGAGTAGACATTATAAATTATTTTCTTAATGTGGATGCTTTAGTACTCAATAAGATGTTTTCCTGTTTAAACCTTCTCATTGTATAAAGGTATTGTTTTACTGTTTTAACTTAGAAAAACAATATATATAATAATTTGTTTCAGTTTCTCCAAATTCTCGACCTATAAGATAACCAGCTGAAAAACAGAAAGTTCTCGTCAAGAACTTAAATTTTCAATTTTTTTTCATTGCAAACATAGATAATCCCTTTACACTGCATCTCCTGGTGGTGCATAGATGCATTTTCTAGAATGAGGCCTGTGATTAAATCAACAGATCTAGTTTTGCTTTTACATCAGATCAGGTAATGGGATGGTTTAGGACTGATTTTAAGAGCCACAGTTGCTAGCCAGACGACCATTTTCCAAGATAAGGTCAGCATAAGTTAAAATGCAGATCTTTTTGCTGTAGCATCACAATTTCATGATGTCTTAAAGGGTCTTTGAAAGTGCTGACTTAAGCAGTTCTGTCTCATATGTACTAGCTCTTCTTAATTAAGTTTTGTTATACTGAGGCCAAAACAATTGCTCCCGATACAGGCATGTCACATTCAATATATAAATTTGAAAAATCCTATAAATTACTATTTATATTGAGAGTGACTAGCCATTTCTAATAAAAGTCATGAGAAAAATTAAAATGACAAAAAAAGTCAGTCAAGATCCTTTGCTCTTAACTCTCACTTTTTTATATATTGTTAACATTGTACTTTTTTTTTTTCTTTTTACAGGTTCTATGATGTTCCTAGTTTGACCTATTCAGAGCCACTGAGCCATGAGGAGCGGGATATTTCCTATTGGAGGAGGCGAGGCCAGGACTTCAGCATCCTTCTGGACTACGCTGATGGCAGGGAACTAAGGGCCTCTGCTGGGGCATGGAGGCCACAGGCTTTAATCACGGCTGAAGAATACAGGGCAGAAAGGCAAGCACAGCAGCTATGGGAGGAAATTTCTTGGTTAAGGGACCCGGATGCAGGCCCCAGTCAACTAAGGGTTACTGGGGAGAGGAAATGCCAAAGCCTTGGAACAGAGGAGTGGAAGCCAGCTGTGGGAATGGGAAGACAACTTTCAGACGGGGACGGGGAAAGATGGGCTAAGGACCAGTTCCGTCTAAGGACACCTGAGGGTTTTTTTCATCCTAGAACTAAAGCTAAATCTCAGTCACTCCCTAGAGTTGTGTCACCTGATGGAACAGACTGCAGAGAACTAATACTATCAAGGCCAAGCCTACCTGATAGGCAAAGGTTTAATAGTACTGTTTTCTCTGGACCGTATAGTAGGTATGTTTATGGTGGGGGCAGAAACGGTTGGGGTAGGAATCTCGGTCCAAGCAGCCATGTTGCACTTTTACCAAAGCCCAGGTTTAGCAGGCCTTTAAAGCCTCCTTCATATGAGATACACCAGCAGACAAGGGGTAGCGCAGAAATGCTTGCTATAGAACAGGGTGCGAAACAAAAAGACAGATCTCTTTACTATCCAAGGGGTGGTGAGCTGAGACAAGACTATTACGCACAACATGCCCTCACTGGAATGGAGCCTCCTGGCTACATTCCACCCCCTTCATATAAAAGAGCCCCACCTCCAAGAGCAGTTTCAGTCAATCGCAATGAAATGGCAAATTTAAGATGGAGGGCAGAATCTTTTCAAATGCCAAGCTCTGATCCTGGAAGGTGGCTCTCCAGACAGGGAAGCAGCTCATGGGTGGGACATTATGGAGAACGTAGTGCGTCCTATCGAAAACTTGTAAATCTGGGACCTGAGGAACAAGTGGTTCAGGTTCGTCAGTTACCCACTGAAGACCCAAGAGTAAAAGAACTCTCAGGAGGGCCTGGTGTACATTCTCTTAGTGACCTAGACAAGCTGCGCAACATCAACAAAGAGATTTCATCTGTTAAGACTCTAGGACAATCTACACATGATAGTGCCTTTCCTCCCCAGCAGGGGCCAGCTCCCAACACCGAAGCCAACAAAACCGCTCCAAATGACAACGACATAAGTAATCGATGGTGCAACAGGGGTATTAAAAAGAGTGAAAGTGTAGGTCCTGAACAGAATCGTCCAGTTATTTTTCCTTCATCTTTCCTTGGTAAACCACCCCCACCCCCATGTAAACCGGTTGACCAGGGTGTATCTGAAACTGTAACAGAGGTGAAAAAAGTAGAGCAGCATGAGCCCCCAGAAAAAGAAAAAACAAAAAATCTAAAAAAGAGACTCAGTGAAACAATTTTTTGTTTAGTGTCTGTCCCTGTTACTCCACAGCTCACTGGGACAATTCGAGATCAAAATAACAACAATGAAAAATCACCAGACCCAGCAGGCAGTCCTAGTGACAATAAAACTGGCCACTTAACAAACCAAAGTCTTCAAAGCACATCCTCAGCTGAAGCTGAGCTACAGGCTCTTACTGGTAGCTTTGCAAGCAGCAAAACAAGCAGCAGAGCAAGCAGCAAAATGTTTAAGAAATTACCTTGTCGACCCCCTAAGATCAATCATTATAAAGAGCTGAAACTGTCAGGAACCTGGCCTGCGAACCAATATCGAGATCAGGAGACACAGACAAGCCCAGAGGCTCGAAAACCTGCCCCAGATAACATGGAAGCACAACAAGAACCTGTTCCTCCTGGCACTGACGTTTCACCCGACAGCAGTGCTGTAGTGGGCACTGCCTTCAGTTTTCCTATAAAGGGAGTCAAGAGCCTAAAGCTGTCGAGTAACAGCGCCTTCTCTTTGACCTCCACCTTCTCCTGCCAGCTGAATAAGAGCACAGCTCAGCAGCCAGCAGTACCACCCTCAGGAAATGTGGAGGAGGCCAAACCAGCAGCAAGCGGTGAACAGTTCTTGATCAAGCCTGCCACACAACGACCGTGGGATGCTGTCAAAGAGTTGGAAAGCATGAAAAAAGAGATTCAGGATCAACAACAGCAGCAGATCAGCAAACAGCAAAGTGTTGATAAGTGCATAGAAGACCTTAATGAGGCCTACAAAGACATCTTAGAGCTAGGCACTGCCAGCAATAAAGTTCCAAATGGTTCGGTTCAAATTCCAGAACGCATTAAAATCCGACTAACATCAGAACCTCTCAACAAGCCCAGCAGCCTTAGGCGCAGTGCAGTAAGCTGGTCTGTTGACCCAGAATACAGAGAAGTGAAGAGTGCCTTCTCTAGACCTGCAACAAAGTCCGTAACATTTAGCAAACAGCTAAGAGAAGAACTCCCAGTTCCACCAAGGGAGACTGGATTCAGAGAATACAGGGTTGTGACGCATCTTTCCCGTAGAAGGAGTAATGATGGAAGGACAGTCAAGCTAGACTTGCCAGATGAACCTATCGAGACACCGCTTTGTGACTTCAGTCCAACGACAAACAACACAGCTGCTGAGGTGCCATGGGCAGATAGACAGCCAATGCAAGATGCCTCTACGCTTACCAGTCCTCCGGATTATGAGGACATATGTCAAACTTTACGTCAAACTAAAGATTCAGCAGATGGAAATAAAGCATCCACAGGTCAATCTAGACCCAACGACACAGAGAATCTTCAGGATCTTGGCGGTGAATCTGAAGAGGAGTGCCCTATTTGTAAAAGGGAACTTGAGAATCAAATGAGACAGGGTCCTTTGCCTCCACTTCATGAGGAAAATAGCTCAGACAGCTCGGCAAATCAAAATGGCAGCCCACCACAATGTGCTGCCCTAGAAAGTCCAGCAAAGGACTCAAAAACTGAGGAGGTAAAGGACTCAAGTCTAAATCAGTCAGATTCAGACCTGAACCCTGAAACAACGGAGCAGAGGTTACTGGCGGAAGACGCTAAGGTCTGTGAGAAAGCTGAAGATGCTCATGCAGAAAACTCAGGCAGTGGATGCAAAGTTGATCCTGCTGAGGGCAAACCAGAGAATAAGGCTCATGACGATCCTTCTTCGGCATCTACAGCATTACAAACTGATCAGCCAGCAGATTTACAAGTGACACACAAACAGCATGCAGATGAAAAGGTGACTGAGGAAGTAGATTTAAAGGAAGAGAAAACACTTTCAGGCAAAACTTCTGAGGGCAGCATAGTTAGAAGGAGAAATCTAATGAAAGGCGAGAGGCAAAACAACACATTACCTAAAGAAAAGAAGTTGCAAGAGAAAAAGTCAGTGTCTGTTCCTGAACTTCGCGTTGGTCTACGAAGTCATCTGGGACGGGACCATCCAGGGCTACCTGAGTTTCCACCTGATAGACTGCCACTTTCAGTTCCTCTAAACCTGGACCGTAGATTATCCTTAAGCTTGGAGGGGGAGAGAAGGACCAAGGCCCCCTCCCAGCGAATTGAAGCATTGCAGAACAAACTGGCTATTTCTCCGGGACATGTGCCAGTTGAAAGACTTGCCAGGATGAGGGAAGTGGACGTTATATGTCGGGTGAGACGCCTAAGCATCCGGAGTACTGACTCTGGAGAGGGGGAAACAGAAGGCGAGGGCAAGGATGACCATGTGGAAGAGCTTCACCCAGTGCCGCAGGAAAAAAAGGAGAACAATCAAGAGGTCACACATTCACAGCAGGGAGCAGAGGAGACAGTGTTGCAAGATGGACAGAAATCATCTCTCTCAGGTGAGGATAGAAACGGTTCTCAATGAATTCTTAACCAGCATGAATTAATTAATCATTGCGTATGGAAACATGCTTTGGCAAGTTCACTCATATTTCTTCTTTTTTAATTCCCAGAAACCGCTGATCCCAGCCAAGGGGTAACAAAGTAGTAAAAAAACTGGTCCATCATTTCCACCAGAGGTTTTAAGCTCCAACACTGTGACCTGGCTGCCAACTAGAATGCCTTCATTTCATCTTGACACTGAAATGGCCTTCTTGTCCGACAAGAGCATTGTGTACACCTTCACCGCCGGCGCTGCATTTACTACTATGAGTGCTGTTCCACTGCCAAAGGGAGATGCCCTACAAACCAGCAGGGCAACTTCCACTCCAGATCCCTCCCCAGCCTTCCTAAACTGACTCCCCCCCTCCCCTTCTGTCCTCCAGTCTCAACCTCATTCTTCTATAGCGTTTCTACTAGTTAATCTACCTGTAGCGGCTTGTCCTTTTCTATTCTATACTCCCAATGCTTTTTTCATTAGCAAACATTATGCAATTCTGTCATGCATACCAGAGCTTCTAAAGTGTGGATAGCGAAAAAGACTTTTCGCATTTTTGTTTACCGAGGAGCAGTTTAAGGAAATGAATGTAAGTGTTTATGTTAAAGCCAACATAGACGTAGAAGGGTTATTTTCTCAAACGTACTTTTGCATTTTAAATACACCAAAATAAACGTATCTGATTGTGGTCAGGTGACAGCTGTTTTTAGAACTGGAATTTACTGTCTTTGGCTCAAGAACTGTTTTGATTTTCAGAAAAGATAAATGCGCCTTTCTTTGTTTTGTTTTTTAAGATCTAATGACATTATGCCCACCCTCGTTGCTTTTCTACACTCTGCAACCTTAACCCATAGATCTCTTCAGTGAAGAGTTACTCTTTATAACATGAGATGATGGATCAGTTGTCCAAATGTGTTTCAAAGTGGTTCTATACAGGACAGGGATTGCTGCCTTTCTTAACCACCTTAATAAATCCTGGTCGGATCAGGGGAAGTCTTTAATTACAACCTGAACAATTCAGTGTAAAGTTCAAATTTCCAGGTAATTTCAGGAAGCAATAAAGGCAATGACAAAGTTGGTGATCAGTGACTTTATAAAAAATTTACGATGAACATAGGATTTTAGAAAAATAAAAGGAAAAGAGAAAAAAGATAAGTAGAGCAATATTGTTGTATTAACAGCCCAGTGGTGTAGTGGAGCTACCTGTAGGAACCATTGTCGGAAGTTTTAATGTGAATATGTCATTCAGATCATATTACAGGGAAATGGAGTCATGTCAGGGTATGGGCGCTTAACATAGGGGTGGGTGCTTTTCTTCATGATATATATCTATCTTCATACATCTGTGAAACAACATTTCACTGAGTATTTATTTTTTTTAACCATCAAATTGTTACTCGGTTTGCATAATTGTACAAAATAAAGTATATTTTAAATATTTTAAGAGAAATTTTGTATTTAACCATGGGATTTTATTTCTCCGCGCTGATATCAAGCTGAAAGTGTCATATCTATGTATAGTATCATATTGAGAGTATACGTAATTTTCTAGTGCTTTAAAACAGAAAACCTATCATTTCAGAAGGATGACCCCGTTGTGTGCCTTGATCACACGATTTGAGTTCAGTGAGTGACAGGGTTCATCACTGCAGGGTTTGACAGGACTGAAACTTTCTGATTGTTCCATTACTTACGATTTGATAGTGCTTTTTCATATGCTAACAAAGTCAGTGTTTGACGCTCTTAGTGATATTTGACTCATTAATCCATCAAAGATGTGTTTCCTATGTTGGTGGTCATACATGGCCTCTGTCTTTATATATTTGTCTTTGTATGTCTTCCAGTTCATGTACTGTTTTGTTGTCGCTCCTCAAAACATGTTGAGAAATAAAATTTGGATTTCTTTCACCTCCCCTCCCCCATCCTTATTTATTTATTTTTTTTGTCCCTAAGTACTTTGTTTTTCTTATGTTGTTCCTCTCATTACACGGCGTGTTCTCTTTGTGTGAAATGTTCTGCTGTCACCGACATCTATTGCACTTCAGGGTTGCAATATGCTACTTTAGGCCGCATATCTGCAAAACGAACTGGCAGAGATTCTGTCACTTTGAGGATTTTAACTCCAATTCTGACAAGACTGTAATTGCATTTATGTGGTTTTGCAACATCAGCAGTATTGCACTGTTGTGATCGTTTATCGCTCATCCGTTACCGCCTAATTTTTATGTAGCATTTTACAGCTGTAGCATCAACTCAAAACCTTGTCTTGGTATTTGGATCATTTCTTGTAAATTTGAACCACTCATTACGCCTTATTATCTGTGCATTACATTATGCTCTAGAGAAATGCCAAATATTAACGTACTAAGCACTGTTCACACCGTTACTTTTATTTCAAAATGATTTATTTTTGCAAAACAACTCACAAACCTGCCGCTCCTCTAGGTGGAGCAGTAAAGTAGCATTGTGAGTACTTTCTGCTCCTCGTGCTGTTTAGCCTGAACATAGAATCAAAACTGTGAAATCGAAACAAAACTGAGAGTGTAATTATGAAAAAGTACAGGATAAAGGATATGGCTGAATGTTTATAGACAGATTAACAGGAAGGACAAGCTGTTTCGCCTATATCTACTAACAGAATTCATCTTTGATTCATTTTGGTCTCTAAAAGGCCTTGGTCTTGTACTAAAACTGCCCCTAACAACATTTTTATGATTTCTCCACATATGCACCCAGCCCCTTCCAATTGGCATGAAAGGTACACTTAAACATAGTGTCATTTCACTTTTTGTACTACAGGTTATGTGCAGACATGAAGTAATTATGCACACTTGTAATATTTTCTATTTTCATATGAGATTTTAGTGCTTTTTGTACTCACTGACATCTTTTTTTCTTCCTTGCATGGAATGCAAGAGAGTGGAGAAAAAAAAATGTTTTTCATAAAGTATATTTGCATTTGGTACTCTTAATAGTGAAACCGGTGGGCAAGACATCATGTTTCATTACTTCATTTACAAAACTATGCCAAGTATTTAAAAGCTATTTTTAGAGTGAATCAAAGAAGAGCTCATACATTTTCTTTTCTTTTTCTTTTAAGACATGCCTTTATCTTTGTATCTATAAATAAAAGCATAATCCATAGTCACACGATTGTGCTACTGTTGTATGATTCTGCAGTCTGATTCATAAATAAACTCTTTGCATGAAATGTTGGTTGGTGGTTCATTTTTGCTTCATAGTGTTTCATAGTGCTGCATACACCATTTAAGCATTAGTTTCATATTAATTTTGAGCTTTTATTTTTATTTTAAGAGTTCTTTGTCCCACAGTGAAAAAAATATACATAAAAAATAAATAAATTATTTTCTTCACTAACAGAAACTGATAGCAACATCATAACTGTAGGCTCAATGACAGCTGCCTATCATGTTTTTTTTGTTATTTATTTTGCTTCTACATTTAAAGGTTTCAGTTCATAAAACAAATGCTGATACCAGATATCAATTATCTAGGTTAATACAAAATGCAACTTTCAAATGATGAAATATACCAACTATGTTTGCTCTCAGCAGAAAAAAACAACACCTTGCACCATTTAACGTGGTTTTCCCACAGTTTGTGAGGACGACTGCCAACCAGTGATTTCCGTAACTTGAAATCGATCTTTTATATTAATTATTTTGGAGGAATTTTGGCCCACCTTTTTCATATTTGTTTGAATAAAGGAGCAGTTTTCAAGATAAAATTGACTATTTTTAGTCATGGCAAATGATACGTCTGGATGTTACCCAGGCTACTCTGAAACCTTGATATTGCTTTTTTTTATTAGTTGATAGGTGGATGTATTTATGTCACAGATCATACATCCATAATAAAATGTGCTTGAGCCCAGGATCTGAGGTTATTGCTGAATTTTATTCTTCTGGAGAATTCATGGTTTCATTCATTTCCAGGCCTGAAGCAGCAAAGCCATGGCAAAGCATCATACTATCATCAAAATATTTTTCTTTGGCCACGATTATTTTTCCCTTTTTAATTCTGTAATTCGGTTGGGAGTTTTGGCCTGGTGGTTAGAGCAGTGTGTCTGTGCTCTAAAAAGGCTGCAAGTACCCAATTCGATCCCCACAGCCTGCAATCTGGGTTCCTGAGCAAGGCCCTTAACCCCAACTCCTCCCCGGGCGCCACCCAATGGCAGCACACTGCTCCCCAAGGCGATGGGTAAAACGCAGAGAGTGAATTTCCCATTGTGGGACAATAAAGGGATTTATATGTTTTATATTTTACCCCAAATATAAAAAGAACCACGTATTTAAATAAGTACCCCAAGAAAACTTTCCAAAAGTCTTGAAAATCTCTAAATAGAAAGCAGGTATTTGTGGGCAGTACTCTTTTTAGGCTTTTTATGCAACTTTGGTAATTTGGTGACCTCATGGTTTAACTGTTGTTGTGCATTTGGTGTAATCTTGGCAGGCTGGCCACTGCTACAGTATGATGGCTCATCACTAGTGTCTCTATTTGTTGGCGATAGCTTTCACTGAGGTTACCCTGTAGTCCCAGTGATTTTTTTTAGGTTTGGGTTATGATCAAATATAATTGTCAAGTGGGAGTGGAGGTTTGAGGGGACCCAAATGCAGACACAAAATTAGGGGTGCTTTCTTGAAGATTTAATTAACCAAAAGTTCATTAGAAGCAAAAGTCCAAAACATAAATCCACAAAAACTGAGAACCAGGAATACTCACAAGAAGGGGACAAAGAAATGATGAAAAACCAGCAAAGAGTGACTAAACAGGAGGAGTATATATTGGAGAGAGAAACAAGGCCAGGCAAATTAGCAGATTGGAAGCAGGTGTGAACAGAGGAGGCAAGAGGGGAGCTAGGCAAATGGAGACTGATGCAAGAGAGCAAACAAGAAATATCTAAGAACTCAAATACAATCAAAAATAACTAGAACACAAAAATGGAAATAAGGCCAATGAAAACTTTAGCCCATAAGATCTCCTTACAGATAAAGGACCCCCTGTTAAATTATATCTACAATCAGTGAAGAAGCCTGATGATCATAAGTTACCTCTTTCATTGAGAGATTTTAGTGCAAACAAAACACACCACAGCCAGCATCCTGTTTTGAAGAAATTCCTGGTCTTATCTCAATTTCAAAGACATTCCAGAACCTACACCTCTTAAAAAAGCTAAATGAATGTACATATATGAGCCTGTGTGTATATTGGGAGTGTTACTGCTCCATTTTACCAAATAAAGATCGAATTGTATAAAGAATGTTCGAGGCAAATATTTGAAAGCCCTAATTTAACCCAAAAAAATTAATGCGCATGATAAATGTATACAAACACCGGATTGAAATAGTTTACTACATTACTCCCCTTTTTTTTTTTTTTTACGGTAACAATGAAAAATGTTATTGAACTTAAACAAAGAGAATCACGTCAAAATTTGCTGCTAATTGAATTTTCCTTTACGAAGTGCGCAGTTGATCTAAAATCAGAATATCTGATCAGTGATTTAACACTCTGGTTTTCTTACTTAAAACATGTCAATGCAAAACACAAAGCTTTGTAACTGTGGCCCTAAGATAATGTTTTAGTGTTGATAACTAAGCTTTTATGTCCAAACTTAACTGCAGAAGTTGACTTTCATTTTGTAGGGTTAGATTTTAGTTGTTTGATTCACTGAATTTCCAAATTATTAGCATGAAATCAGAAGCCTACCTCAATATTATTGTTTTCTACCAAACAGTTTGATAATAGTTGATGGACAGGATTTGATCTGGACTAAAATACACTGGATATTTTAAAAAAACTCAGGTAGAAATGTTAGTGTTGTGGCCCAGCTTTAATAGCACACAAAAAAAAAAAAAGGTCCACAAAGGCCACGGACGCACCATGGACTAGTAATTTATGCAGGTGAAAGAAAAAATGCTCCAGGTAAACTCCTTCAGTTTTTCTAGTTTATTTCTCCTCAGCCAAGCAAACAGAGAAGGACAAACATTTCCTCCATGCTTCTCTTACGCTGGTAAAAAAAAAAAAAAAACATACGCCCACCCAGATGCATGCTGGTCCTACAATTGACAGCCTATTTATAAAAAATAATTCACCAAAATTAATCATAACTAACCAGAAACAAAGGAACATGACTAAATAACCAAAAAACATGATCTCATAACAGATAACAAACAACAAAGTAGAATAAACTTATTATCCACAAAAACAAAAAACGTTGTTAATTATTAACAAAAAAGTAGCTCCTAGTTTATAAAGAATATTCAAAGTGCTTGACATGAATTAAAGTGAAATAAAGCAGTAATAAAAGAAAATAAAGATAAAAACCTGTACACTGGTTATTGAAATTTGTTTTTTGTTTTTTTTTACATCATGAGCTCTATTTTTTCCATTATCTTTCAGTCGTACTTGTAAAATAACTGGTGTTGTCTATTTATGATGTTCCTACTGCTGTTTGACAAAGATAGAAAACTAAAGTTCAATGGATATGGTTGGAGTTTTTTTTTTTCACTCTACAGCTCCTCGATCAAAGGATAAACCACCTGGCAGTTGCTAGTGTCCTGTCAGCTGGAGCCTTGTTCCAGAAGGTGCCCCAGTTTCCCGACCTGTTTCTTTTGTTCCACCTTAGCAGAGATTTTACTATATCATGGTCTGTAAACCTTCCAGAAGGTAAGTTTGTCATGGAAGAAATGAGGAGAATCACCATCAATAGTCACGCATTCTCAGAATGGATTGGATGTGGGGGGATAGTAGCTGGTTAAATCAGTTTTGATTAGATTAACCAAAATATTGGTCAGAAGTTGACCAAGTCATTGGTTTCAGACCAATCATTTTAAGTGGTCAACCAAACAACCAATAAAAATGTTAACTGATGGTTAACTGATCTGACTGTTTGGCTGTAGTTAAGTGGACTTAGCGAACATTTACAGTGACTTGTTAATAGATGTTGGAGATCGGCCTGTTTTCCAGTGTGGTCCTGTTTCTCTGACCGTGACTGAGTGGATGTGCTCTCTTCGTCCTCTGGCATGGGAGCTGCCTTGGAGCTCGTCTGCCTGGCTGTGTGTTTCCTGGACGGGGCCGCCTTTTACAGCTACTTTTTGTATCTCTGCTTCTGTCTCCTTGAACCCCAGTCGGCCTCGGCAGATGGCCGCTCACACTGAGCCTGGTTCTGCTGGAGGTTTCTTCCTGTTAAAAGGGAGTTTTTCCTCTCCACTGTCGCTACAAGCATGCTTAGTGTGGGGGATTGTATTTGAGTCAATGAGTCAATGCAATCAACTGGTTTTCCTTAGATAGAAAACTGTGTATCAATTTGACTGTATGATCTGGTTGAACTGTAAAGTGCCTTGAGATGACATGTGTTGTGAATTTGGCGCTATATAAATAAACTGAATTGAATTGAATTGAATTTGTACATATACAGCATGCTAATCATGGGTTTTACCTTGGTTGTAACTAGTGTTTCACCGATACCAGTATCGGGCAGGGCCCCGATACAGCACTAAAATGGTGGTATTGGCGATTACCGACAAAGAGGGCACCAATACCATTTTAAAAGCCAAAAGTTTATTCAACTATAGTCACCCGTTCCAGGTAGGTAATAAAAACTTCTACTGGATTCACTTTGTATTAGTCTCTTTCCGGCGTCACAAAGGTAGGCAGCAGCTTGACAAAGCCATGATGGCAATTATTTTACATCTAAGTAGTATGCAGTTCTTCATATATACACACCAATTTCAAGCAGATGGTATCGGTATCGGTTGACACTGCACAGCCAGGTATCGGAATCGAGACCAAAAAATGGCATCGGTTGTTAGAATGAACTAGTATTAACCAACCCCCCAAACGACGTCATTTAGACCTTGGTTTTTAGGCTAGATCTGGTCGGTCCATCATAGTCTTGATTTAGTCCAGAAATTGGGCTTTTTTTGGTCGGTCAAAAGACATTGAATTTTCAACGTCTGTTCAACTATCTTAAAATGACGACTTTTAACCTTTCACTTTTCAACCAAATGTAGACGTAGTTTGGAAGTAAATCATGTCGTCTTCAACGAATTTTTGTTGGGTGGGAAGTAGCGTTAGCAGGGATGGTGATATTGGAAGCAGGTGCCCCAGTTCCAGCTTTTAATGCCGTTATACTTTGTTCAAAGTGATCAGTTTGTATTGGTCATTTTATAGATTATTTAAAAGCAC